TGGTTTTGGTGCCTGTCCTGGAACTAGCTCTTGTAGACCAGGCTGATCTCGAACTCACAGAGATCCGCCTGCCTCTGCCTCCCAAGTGCTGGGATTAAAGGCGTGCGCCACCACCGCCCGGCTCAGATCAAGTTTCTTTTGTGCTAATGTCAGTCAAATCTCTGTCACTTGCAACAAAAGAGCATTAACAGATCACATCCTTAGAAAAAGCAAAGTGTAGCCAGTATATATGCACACTAGAGAGGGGTAAAGAAGAAATGCATGAATTTACCAGATCCTATGGTTGAGGAGTAGTCTGAGCGGAGCCCAGCTGCATTGAAACAGTATAGAAAGAAGACTGTTAGTTCCAGAGGTTCATTTGTTTAGAAAAACGTTCCTAGTCCCCTTTAAAAATAACCAGACACATCTGACATGGGTTGTACTTAACAATAGTCCAGTGAGGAGCAGAGTTATCTCAGTATTTAAAGTAAATACAATAGCTAGACGCCAGCACTGCAGCTAAGGATCCAGGAGAATTCTACATACTATTTTATTTGCTTCCAAGCATTCATAGTCACAAATTTTAAATGATTTGAGGGTAAGAAAATAGCTATATAAATAATAATAATTATTACTATGATTGAAAGAGAAAACATAGTGTGGGATTTCCCACTAAAGATTTTTCATTTGTTCAAATTAAATATCAATTACCTACTATATGTCCTGTGTGTGTGTGTGTGTATAATTGGTATTTATACATTCAACACCTATATCAAAAGGCAAAGCTACAGAGACTTTGAGTAATACAATGTTTTGCAGTCAAGACAAATGGCGCCACTGTGTTTCCACGGGCCTGAGGCACAGCCTGATTGGGAGCATTGGTGGAGACAAGGTGTTAGGGAATAGGACTTGGGGTGGTCAGATCTCAAATGCTGGCTCTTCCTGAGAAAGTAGGAAGCCTCTAGCCAGCTTCTAACTGACCGCAAGGCTGAAGAAAAAAAAAAAGCAAAGATAAAGTGTTGGTCATGCAATGCATTTACATATTTTTCTCCTTAGCTCAATAAGGCAAAGAAGATAATAAAGTGTGCTTAGCTATTTTCACCCTGTCCAAACATACATCTTAATTCTTAGACCACACCCATGTCTGGTCACAAGCCACAGTAGTATGATTTTCCACGAAGGGCATTAGACCTATATGGGCAAAAGCAGGCATCTGGCCCACTCACTTGCACATGGTGCAGGATACATCTGATGTATGTATGCTTTATGTCAGGATTTCCCACACTGAATACAGATGTTCAAAGACCTGAAAAGATGGAATCTGATTTTCACATGATTAGGCTCATTTTCAAACACAAAATCTGTGTTGCCACGACCTTATCTTAACCTCAAAAGTCTCCAAAAACAACCACTCTGGAGCCAGCAAAAGTGTCTTAGCAGGTAAAGGCTCTTGATGCCAATCCTGGTGACCTGGACTGAATCCTTACAGAATAGAAGGAGAGAAACACCTTCCACCAATGGCCCTCTGACCTACACACATGTGCCATGGTGGACAGACACATCTGCAATTTGAGATGTAATGCTAAGAAAGACTCAGGAGAGCCAGTTCTCCTTTTCCCCCTCTCTGCACTCACTTCATCTTTCCATGTTATTAGTACTTTCCCCTCATCGAACGCTCATGTGGCCTCTCTTCTATTCTCTCTCATTTACTTCGCCTAGGAGAGCCTTCTTTCTAGTTTCTACCACTTCATCCGGGACCAAACTAAACTCTCAGTCCCCAGCAACAGCACTCGTAAAATACAACAAAGGGAAAAAAAAAATTCTTCTCTTCTGGAACCTTTTTTGGAACACAGTCTGAAGGTGCCTGAGCATCAAAAATGATGAGGGAACACACTTTAATAAATATAAGTGTGTTCACAAGTCTCCGTTTCAGTTATACTGTGTATAGCATTTAAGAATTCCCCTCACCAATGATAGCTTCAATGCCCAGCTAGTCCTCTGCTCTTGGGATTGTGGAAGAGTCTATATTACAATGTTACATCTGATAATGGTGTCAGATACAGAAAGATATGCGTAAAGGAGAATTACCCAACAATCACCATTTAGTACCACAGAGTCCATATCCACAGCCAGTCCCTGCAAGCTTCCCACAGAGGTGCGGTTTATGATGCTGGTTTGGATGGAGTCCTTCAAGATGGCTGCCACACACTCCTCGCAGAAGATGTGGCCCTTGGCGTGTGGCATGACAAACACAATCCAAAAGTGGACCAGGAGACCACCTTTGTTGTTACTGCTATAGAGAAAGAGAGAGAGAAGTGTTCAAGGATGCCTCTTAGAAAGTAAACATTCCCAGGAAAACAGAAGCTGACAGATTAAAGACCACTGAGAACATCCTTCGAAGGAACCGAATGCCCTTCTGCAGATTGTCTTTGGTGCTGGTTTAAGGACTGGAAAGAGAAAATTTCATGCTCTATGTGTTCTAATCATTGTGGTGGATTCGAGTCTGGATGCATTACGCAATAGCTCCAACTGCACAGATTCTTTTAAGGGCATCAAAGTAGTCACTGCCCACTGCAAATAATGACAGTTCAGTTCCGTATCTCAACGAGCCTCACACAGAATTACACCTGCTTGTCCAGTTAGCCTGCTAATGGTCCAGTTCTGCAGCTGCACAAGTTGAGGACAAATGTGGTTCAAAACCACATGATTCATATGCGATGGAGCTAGAAACAGGGTCCAGTTTTCTTTCCAAACTGACCATGGAGTCTGCACTCATGGTGTACAAATACAACATGCTTTGTGGTAAAAGCATATGAGGGTACTGTGTAGTAAAGAACTCGGGAAAGGGGAGCTAAGGACAGCAGACAAGCTGATCCCCTCCAAGGCTTCTCAGTAGCTTTCCTATGTTCTATGCGACTCTGCATCTGTACGAATGGTAAAAGAAATGGATTACAGTATACGGAGCACAGCTTTTCCTAGTAAGTTATCATTCAAAGCACGAGTCTCAGATAGTCTAAGTAGCCTGTTTGTCATTGAACATATTTTGGAAAGTCGTGGTTTGCGTCTTATTCTTCCTCCACCATCCACCCACCATGGTGGCCACGTTCGTGGCCATTTACTCCAGAGGCCCTGAAGTCAGGATTCCATTTGGGTGAAAGGAAGACTTGGTAAATATACAAACAGACTTGCTGTGGCAGCCAGGCAGGCAGCTGGGTCATTGGTTTTGCTAATGGGGTGTTCACCAACAGCAAATGGTTTCTGAGTGGGAAAATCTCGGTCCTTTCTGGGCTGTAAGCGGGGTACAAGGCAAGGATGGTAAGAATCCCAGGGCGAGAGTCATCCATTACCTGACATCTGCAACCACAGACTGCTTATAAAATTTGGAGAAAGCAGATGTTGTGTAAACCAGGTTAATCTGAAAATAAAGAGATTAAATTATATTAATTCTTTCCAACTCAGTTTACCTAGGGTCTAATTCCAATGGTTAATTGTGGGGAAATCAGGCCCCAAGCCAAAGGTTTCTAACTCCAAACCTAGACATTATCTCCTGAATTTAATTAGCTCCTCATTTCTGAAGCATCCCTCAGAACTCTTTTATTCTGATGTGACGAATCATCAGTTGTTCTTCCCTATTTATTTCTGCTTTTGAAGTCTGTCATCAAGTTTAACTTCGGAGTTCTTCCCAGTCCTATATTTTTCTTCATAGTTAACAAATGTATTTATCACCTGCTCCAATCTGGTACTTCCCAGGACAAATTCCAGTATTAGCCACGAGGCGGCGCGTGGTGACCAGAGTAGGGCCAAATGAGGTCAGCAGGTCCAAAATTTCATAATTGGCTCTCAAAGGAGACCTTTTCCAATCAATATACCATCTTTGTTCTTGTTTAACTTTTCTTAAAGCTAAATTCATTCTCCTCCTCTCCAACTCTAAACAAAAAGCACCCACCTAACTGCCCAAATCTTAAAAATTCTATAATATTGTGGAAAAGAATATGAAGGTTAAAATAGCCCTACAGCACCAGAAATATTATGTAAACCTGCTGGGCGATGTTGGCTTGGGTTCACCCTGCCTACCTAGCAGGCATAACTTGAGGTATAATCTGTGCACCTATATTTGAGGTGACGGATTTCCTGCTAAGCTATTGGTCATCAGTAGGAAGCCCTCCGAGGATTGCTGTCATTCCAAAGCCCCTCCTCCTTTCCCACTGCAGCGAGGTCCCTGCAAGCCCTCTGCATTGCTGCAGAGGTCCAAATGAGCATAAACCTCCCCATACTCGCCCTGTGCCAGGAGCCCTGAATGGACTTTTTTCTAATAGACGCTTTTAGGAAATCATCTGGGGACGAAATCAGAGATATGCATAATTCATGGCAGTTTTGATTTTGTATTATGTATGATGTAAAAAAAAACCTGGGGAACTGCTTAAACATCCATTAGAAAGGGATTTGTTAACTTTGAGACTATTAACACTTGCTTTTGAAAGAATATTTGCTTGCACAGAAAGCATGCAATGCAATGCTAAGAGAAAAATACCGCACTAACAGGATAGCTGCTAATACTCCACTATTTCAGTGCCCTTGTGTCCTTGCAAGACAGAATCAGAGCTTTCCCTGGAAATGACATTGAAAAACTGATGATCTTTTTAAAAATATACTTTTCTGAATTTTACTAATTTTCATAATATTTATTTTTTGAATAAAAAGGATGTTTTGCTTTTGTTTTTTGTTTTGTTGTTGTTGTTGTTGTTGCTTTTAAGTGAAGAGATGGCCAGTGTAAGGCTGGAATAAATATGTAGAAGTCACAAAATTAATCAGTGTGTTTGAACTTCAAAACTGAAGGGTATGTTAGAGATCACATGATAGTCTCTATTTTACAGAGGAGAAAAACAGGGCGGGGGGGGGAAGCTGTATCCTTTTAGGATTACGAAAAGAAAGAATGGGGCTGTATCTTGCAGTGAACATGGGCTAAATAAAGGGCAGAAATGTGTATTTTAAAGCCCAGATGAACTCATTCCCTGTTTTCCTCCAGCAGCTTTCTTTTGGGGTTCTGCCCTCTATTTCCTAAACTCAGTGAGCTAGGATATCAGGAAGCCCACGTACACCCCCTCAGGCTCCGCCCTCCTGCTCCCCCAGGCTCCACCCTCCTGCTCCCCCAGGCTCCACCCTCCTGCTCCACAGGCTCCACCCTCCTGCTTCCACACCCTCAGCCTCACCACTTGCTGTACTGTCTTCGCCATGGAGAGAAATTCCCTGGACTCCTTCTGCCGGTACTCAGGAAGAAACTCAACGTTGGTGATGCGGAACATCCCAACAAAATAAAAGGCGTCTTTGCTCTCTGTCCTACCTGCAAAACAAGAGAAAAAGGCAGGCAGTGAGAAGATTGTGGCAGCTAAGCAACACCTGATCCGAGTCAGCATCACTCACCTAAAATGATTGCATCTTAGGCAGATACACGCTCCCGCACATCGTAACCTGTGAAAGTCAAAATAGCCCTAGTGACATCTCTCCCGTCACTGTAACTCTTGATACAGTCTGCCCTTCCTGTTTTCTACTGGCAAATACTTAAAAGCAAGGTTTAATGGTAAAAAAAAAAAAAAAAAACTGCACGTCTTGAACTTTGTCCTAGTGTCTAGAGAGTAAATAACATGCACAATTTTGTCAATTCCATACCTGCAAGCTGTCAGATGCTAACACACCCACCATCACAGTTTGGGGTGCAGTTAGCATGATGGGGAAAGACAGAAGAAATCCTCTGACTCTTGGGAGCTTCCACTGAGCTGCTGCCTGACTTGTGTGCCTAAGATTGAGGAGTGAGGCCACATTTCTGTTCTGTCCAACATATGGCACATTTATCCTTACCAGCATGACCTTCGGCTCAGCATGGGCTCACTCCTACTCAAATCTGCTCTGAGAACTGTAAGGCTAGGTTTCTTGGCATGAACTTTGCTGACAGATGGACAGAGACAAGGCTCGCAGCATCTGCATGGACTCAGGGTCCATGAGAATGAGGAATTGGAAGTGACTGGGGGAATTGAAGTCTAGTCCTCTTGCACCCCCCCCCCCACAATATCAGGGCTTGAACACTTGCTCTGCAAGCACTATAGCACCAGACTACAGTCTCTCTTCCTTCCCAAGGTCTCTCTCCTCTTCCACAGCTCCCCATGAATTTTTTAATATTTATTTATTCATTCATGCATTTACTGCGATGCTGGGAATCAAATTCAGGGCACTGTACACGGAGTCAAGTGATAGTCACTGCTCTATAGTCCCATCTATTATCTTTCAGGATAATCTCACAAGGACAGCCCAGGCTCTCCCTTAGTACCAAATCTTCCTGCCTCTGCCTCTCAAGTGCTAGAATTGCAGTAATACACTGCCACGAAGCTTCTCACAGTGCCTTGCAATCCTGTCCCCCGTGGCAGTCACCTCAGGAGCAACCCTTTCCAGCTCTCTGAGGGAACGCACAGTAAACCATTGTTTTTACCTCAGCCCTCAGCATAGTAAGTTCTTGGCTCACCTTTGGACCTCAAGACATTTAGAGGGGAAGATAAAGATGGAGGGGTGCAGAAGTGATAAAGAGACTATCCCTGTGCTAGGCCTCCAGAAAGAGAATATCCCCATGCTAGCACAAGGCCTACCATCAGGTGAGGCTAAACACAAGATGATCGGACTTAAAAGATGAACTCTATAGGAGTGACAGAAATCAGCCTCTTCTAGAGCCCACTTGGGGTCGCTTTGGCCAAAGCAAAGAAGTGAGGCTGTGAAATGATGGGGTACACAAGGTAAAGGCAGGAAGCCTTTTGGGGGGACATATTTTGGTCTTCTGTTGGTTGGACTTTGATCATTCAGTTCCTGACCTTTGCAGATCATCTCACCCAACCCTTACGGTGCCTCGCTAGATCTCACACTTAACGTTAGTAATTGCTTTGGGTTTTGTTTTCCCACAGAGACAATTTCTATGTACTTATTTATTCATTTGCATATTATTGTTTTTAAAAAAAATCAGGGGGCAGAACAGCAGTAATGAAAAAAACAATCGGTTTCGCATTGAATCCAATTATATTTACTTAATACTTTTAGCTCGGCCCAGCACAGAAGACCCTGGCTGCTTTCCCTGATAAACTGTCTACCTCCAGCCTCATGGCCACCTTCTATGACCAAATTGCAAATGTCAAAAATAACCTGTGTTCTCTTGAACAATGCTTATTCAAACAAGTTTTCTTGTTCCCTACTGCTGTTCTGTTCCCATGAAATGACCCTCTCTGTTTTTTTTATATAAATAAGCTACTTTTGTATGTTTTTCTAAAACTTTAATTATAGGATTTTGCAAATATGTCAGTTGGGATGCCAGGAAACTCATTGTTTATATGAAGTGTGTTGTCTTTATTGCCCATTGCCTTAACTTGCCACGTCAGTCTATAATGTCCTTGAACTCAGAAATAGGGTCTGACTTAGCAGTCCATTCCATGCCTATCACAGAGGTCAGCTCACCTTGGCACGCCCACAATATATCCAATGAACTTTTAGGAGACCATTCTGAAGGCCTTCCATCTCTAGACCCATTGAGCGCCCCTCTCTGATAATTACAGAATAATCACTTCCGAATGAAAACATAACCCACATCCTTTCTTGAACACCAATTTGTGAACTTTTCAAAAGTAGAAAATGCATCAGTAAGCATTCTGAAGATTGCCTGAGTACTTGGAATATGCCAAATTATTGAGGATCAATTTATAAGGATAAGTGAGTGACCCAAAGTGCTCAAGAACATTCATGAAATCTTTTCTAAGAATTGTCTTGCCTTCCAACCACACTTTAATATCCTTGACAACAGATACAGGCAAAGTGTTTCTCAGCTCATAACACCAGATGTGTGGGTTTTGTCTCTGCATCAGGCAACTCTCTATTTCTCTGTGGATAGCAATGAGTATCCAATGACTCCGTGTAACTTAACCAACTATACACTTCCTGCCTTTTTCACATAATAATGTTTTGACCGAAGATGCCAACTAGAAGTAGTATACCCCTAAGCAATCCATGCTGCTTCTACAAATCAGGGGTTCCCCCAAAACCCCCTCTGTTGTGATAACTTGTTATCATAGTTAAGACATTTCATTGTTATTTGTTCATTATTTGTGGTATATTACATATGATAGTATAGAGAACACAAATGAACAATTAGGCTGACCACTTCATCTGGGTGAAGCCTAGACAAGCTGGAGCCAAGAACTTCCTCTCCCTCTGAGGAATTTGGCTCCCATCAAATTCACCCAATTAGAAATCAGACCCCAATTTGTAGGTGTTTTTATGGAGGTCCTATCATGAAAGCATGATTGATTACATTGTTAGCCCTTGGTGGTCGAATTTAATCTCTAGCTTCTCTCCTCTTTCCAATATTGCCAAGAATTGAAAGATACAGCCTGACAATGCCATGGATCCTCTGTCTATCTGGGCACTTTCAGGTACCAATTATCTTATCACTATGAAAAAAACAAAACGAAAAAAAAAAAAGCAATATTCTTAGAAGTTCTGTATTAGCAACGGAGATGAAATATGACAACAAAAGACACCCCCATCTCCTATCATTTAGGAAGTTATAAGAATGTCAGAAGCCTCATATCAGAAAGCAGGGACTGAGACCACAGGTATGTGTCTTTCACTTCTGTGCAATTAAGTGTACTTTATATCAAATGTCTTACACACAAGGGAATGCCAATGCAAATCAACCAGTGCTATGGTTACCAGGATGAATCAGTAAGTACTTGGTAGGAAAGAGTCTAGTTGTCACATCTGCCCCCAAAGGATCAATCAGATTGACAAAAGCATAGTTATGGGGGCAAAAACAGAACTGGGAGACAAAGATATGAAAGGGGGCTCAGGGAGCCGGAAATTTAAGGTTGCCTAGTAACAGGCTGTGGGTGGAACAAGGAAATGAAACAGCTTAGTGTTCCATTCATTTTTTTAAGAACTACAAATGCATTGCATTTATGAGTGAGTCAACTCCCTTCCCACCCTCCACATCTGGGCATCCTCCACAGCTCCTTTCCCATCCGACATCCCTCCTCCTTTTGTCCACTCATGGGAAGGAAGAGATGGCGATAAAGAAGAAATGACAGACAGTTATGGTGACTTTCCTATTTGCATCTCAAATCCTTCCTTGGAAGCACTGTGTCTGTCTGGAAAAGAGGGGAATTCTATGCAAGTACCCAGAGATGGCCTAGGCCTGCTGATTTAGGCAGCACTCCTCCTGCCCCCAAAGGAATTTAAATTTTAACTTACTGATATAGAGCCACAGAAGTGTCCAAGCTGTGACTGCCAGGATGAACAAAAATACCGTGAAGAGAATGATCTTGTTTTGAACATTCCAAAGGGCAACTTTCTTCTTGGGTTGCTTGCGGCACCTGGGTTTGCCAATAGGTTTTCGAGGCAGCCTTCTCCCGGGAAGCTTCCCGGGGGCGCTGACCACCTGAATGGAGATGTTGGATATCTTTCAAAGAAAAGACAAATCATCGATTAGAAGTCATCTCAAGCTTGGAGCGACTCATGCAGAAGACATTGGTGCCAAAAGACCTATCAGTCAAACCTATGTGAGTGCAGTAAGTGGTTTTGATCAGTTACAAAATGGAGCTCAGAAAATCTAGACATTAGGCCTGGCAAAATAGCTCAGTGAGTAAAGGCGCTTGCTACAAAACCTGGTGACCTAAGTCTGACTCCTCCAGGCCAGTGGTTCTCAACCTTCCTAATGCCACCACCCTTTAATTCTGTTCCTTGTGTTGAGATGGACACCCCCAGCATCATAAAGTTATTTCCCTTGCTGCATCATAACTGTAATTTTGCCACTGTTAGGGATGGTAATATAAGTATCTGTGTTTTCCGATGATCTTAGGTGACCCCATGAAAGGGTCACTGGACCCCAGAGGGATCAGGGCCCACAGGTTGAAAACCACTGCACTAAAGCTACAGCCACAGAAGGAAAGAAAATTTCTGAGAGTTATCCTCTGACCACACACATGCACACTCACTCATATATAAAGAAAAGGAGAAACTAGACTTCGTGCCAACTGTAGAGACAACCTCCCAGGTCCTCTCCCTACTGAATGAAGCCAAGGAGCAGAGGCCCTATCACATGGAGGCAAACAGACAAAGGGATCTGAGGTTGGGAAATGAGGATGGTGTCCCGATGCTTGGGTTGGCACAGCCTTCTTTATGCATTTCTTTGAGGTCTTAGTTTTTAATTTGAGATTCAGAAGGGACTGGGCTTGGGGGCATTTGTTTTATTAGACAAGATCTCACCATGTAGATCAGGCTGCCCTTGAATTCATAATTCTTCTCTCTGTGCCCTAGGTGTTGGGATTACATGAATGTATTAACATGCCCAGATGTTTTTATGACTTTTAAATGTGTGTGTTATCCTGCTTTTCTCTTGTCTCTCATTACTTCTGTCTCGTGGCAAGATTGAAAATAAGAGGGCTGGAGAGATGGCTCAGTGGTTAAGAGTGTTGCCTGCTCTTCCAAAGGTCCTGAGTTCAATTCCCAGCAACCACATGGTGGCTCACAGCCATCTGTAAAGAGGTCTGGCGCCCTCTTCTGGTCTTCGGGCATGCACACAGAATATTGTATACATAATAAATAAATAAATATTTAAAAAAAAGATTGAAAATAAGAATACAAGTAGGTTTCTCACAGAAATACATTGATTTCCTCATCGTAACTTTCTGACTGCGGGACTAGGGAGAGAGCCTAAAGAGGTGTGGTGATTTGTGTAGGCCCAGAGAAAGGGACACCAACACAATTGCTTTGTCACAGACAGCCACTAAACTGATCGGTGACTCAGTTTCTCCATCATGAATAAAAGAATAATCTTAAAGTAAAGCAAGGAATGAAGCAGATGACTCATTGGCTGGTGAAATTGCTGGTTTATGTGCATTCTATGGCTTGAAAGGAGGAAAAATACATTATTTAACTCTACCCTTCCTCCTCCTTTATTTTCTCCTCTCCCTCCTGTCATCTGATTCTGTGAATTCTTTAATAATGCATATGAGAGTTTAGCTTCTTAGACAAAGAGATTTATACACGTCAGGGTAACTAAACTCCAGTGATGAAAGAACTTTTAAACACACATTCTCTTAAAGGAAGCAATCGCGGGGGGGGGGGGGGGGTAATGAGGAAGAAATAAGCTCCCAACAGCTGTGTTAAGAGTTTTCTCATCTTCTCACTCTCTCCTTTCTCTTTCCTTCAGAGTGCCATGCCTTCCCGTCTTTAATCCTGCCAATTAATGGGAAAATAAGGGGCCAAGTACACTTTGCATTATTCATGACGCCCTCATTCTTTTTGCCAAACATCCTTGTCAACCCTTGGAATGAAATGCTGCTTGTGTCTCTCCTGGTGAAACTGAACTAGACAGACTTCATTTCATGTGGTTTCTTGAAGGGGCGAGTTTGTTCTTTTGGAAAGAAAATAAACCACTTTCAAGCACAGCATAACTCCAAAGGAGTAAAAGAAAAAAAAAACAGAAATGCCAACACATGTAGAATACCAAGACTCGAGCTGGACCTTTCAGTACCAGAACACAGTAGAGGCCGTCTCAGTGCTTCTGATTAAAGTTTAAAGTGGAATTTACATAGAGATCAGTATGCTTTCCTTGGGGTTTTTTAAAAACAGGCACTAGTCAATTACCAACTACAGTCTTTCAAAACAAGCTCACAGTCACAAAATCTATTAAATACTGTAAAATATTAAGTATTTATTTTTTTGTTCTCTTAATTTTTACAGCCACAGGAATGCATTTCACCAACAGGGTCAACAGTACACAGTGTTCAAGTAGAGTGAGCAGGGGCCTCCCACTCTGCACTTACTTTCAGGTCTGAGGATTTGCAAGAAGCATCACCATTTTCTTTGTCCATTTTCAGGCATCTGTGTGTGACCACGTAGAGACGTCTGCAGGCCAGCCAGTGTTCACTCACTCCTGCACATGCTCGCTCGAGAAGAACTGAGAGACAGTCACTGTGCCCAGCTAGCTTACAGAGGGATGGAGTCAGCTTACCTCCCTGGGTCCAGTTCGGAAACTGAAGCTGCCTCCTTGCTTCACTGTAAAGTTAAAGGGACCTAGCGCTCAGCATTTCACCCACAACGGAAGGTTTCTGAATGTAAGCCTGCGATGAGCCAAAGGCTCAGTTCCCTACCAGCAGCTCAATTCAACAGCCCAAATACATTGATACACGTCATTAAGATTGAAATTAACTGAATAGACCTTTTCCTTTTGTCCTCTGTGTGCCCTCATCTTAATGGTGATTTGGGAATGGTCATCCTGATGTCGCTTTTCCTATCTGCCTTCTAAAGCCTTTCTAAATCTATAACATCAACCTCTTGGCTCAAACCATCAGAGCGAGGTTTAGTCTATTTATGCTAAGAAGTCTTTACTGATTATACAACAGAAAAATCAAGTAATTTAACTGGATGGAGTCTTGGGAGATATAAACTGGAGGACCAAAGTTTGAGAATATCCTCAACTACGTACGGAAACCTTGTTTCCAAATAAAGTAAAAAAAGGCATAAACTTTCTGCCTGGTTAATATGTCTTGTGTGCTCCTGAAGGAACCCCCTCCAACCCTGCCCTCAGCTCCCCCACCCTTAGAAATCTTCTACCTAGCAGCCTTTCTCCCATCGCTTTCCCCATTGTTTTGGATCCTACGAAAACCTAGAAGCCTTTCTGATGTAAAGCCCCTGTAGCCATCTCTTTAATAACAATCTGGATTAGATCTGTGGATGGAAAGAGCAATGCTCGAAGGCAAGGTCAGAATTCCTCTTGTTGCTGAGAAAACTCACACAAGCTAACACGTCTTTCTCAGAGAGCCCCATCTGGGCATCATGGGGATGCTTTAGGCTTTATAATTTAAAGGCACTAGAAGGTTTTAAATTAGGCCTTTTTAGTGGTTCTTTCTGATTATTCTGTTTTTTTTCTAGAATAATCTCATATTCTATTAATATAGGCAAAATAGCCACACTAAGCAGTGATCCCTAAATAACGGTCCCTAGCAGTGGTCCCTAAGCAATGGTCCCTAGTGAAGACTTTGTCTCTGACCCAAGTTTAGTCAGACTCTCCTGAGATCTCTTTTTAACTAGACTGTTATTAAACGCTGTCCATCACTCATCTATCCCAGTCATGGAAACAGACTTGCTAAGGTGATTCTGTGGAAATCCCCACATGCTTGATGTAGGATGACTCTTGATATTTAGCCACATTCATTCTCTTTGCTTCTGTAAGCCTTGGGCTACCTTGAGCAAGAATCCTCTTAGGTTAGTCTTCGAGGATCCCCTCTACTATTGATGAATTCTCTTAAGCATTTTCTATCTTCTTGATCTGCACTCTACTCATTGGCTGTAATGACTCAACTGTCTTTCCTATGGTGCAGCTGAGCTCATTTCTATTCTGGTCTCTCTCCCTTGTTGCAATGGTGCCCAATAAAACCAGTCTTTGTAGCCTGCAATGAGTTCATGCGTGCAGTGGTGGTTTGAATGAGAAATGTTCCCCCATAGGCACATGGATTTGAACACTTGGTCCCTGTTTGTGGCACTGTTTGAGGAGATACAGAACCTTTAGGAGTTAGAGCCTTCCTGGAGGAAATATGTCACTGGGGATGAACTTTGAAAGTTTATAGCCTTGCCTCGCTTCCCCTTTGCTCGCTCTGCTTCAGGTTTGGGGTTGTAGATGTGATCGCTTGTTTTCCTGCTCTAGCCACACAGGCTGCCATGCCTTTCCTGCCTTTATGGACCCTTCCTCTGTAGCTGTAAACTAAAATAAACTGTATTTCTTCTTCACAAAACACTGTTGGTTTTGGTGTTTTATCACAGCAATATGAAAGGAATGAATACACTGCCTTCTTCTTTGACATGCCTAAGAGGGAGAAGTAGCAGCCAGATAATAAGATGCTGCACTGTAAGTGCCAGATGTAAAAACTATATGACCCCCCACGGCTGCTTTTCAATCATCGCTCCAACAACAGTCAGTGATAAAAAACATCCCATCCTGGAAATTTTTTGATTAATTTAATCTAAATTAATTGCTATCACAATTGAGTTTTCATAATTTGTGTCTAAATATCAAGTGATTACATTAATATTCAAGCTTTAATAAATGATGAGTGAATGTTGAAGTTAATTTGCAGAATGCTCTGTTGTATTTAACAAGAAGTCTGTGACACGTGTTCACTTTAAGTTTTCTTCCCTCTTCCCTCCTCCCTCCTCTCTTCCTTCCTCCCCTCCTCCCTTCCTTCCTTTCCTTCTCTCTATCTTTCTTCCCTCCTTCCTTACGTAATTGAAGCTCTGGAGTACAAGTATACACCACCAAGCCCAGATCAAGGATAAGTTCTTCAACTGCTGGAATCATTTCAGCTCACACGGGCTGGGTGGTTGTCTCCATCCACTCCTGAAGGTCTGCACAGTCCCAAACCAAAACAGAAGATTCGGAACAACTGTAGTCATAGGGATGGCAGAGACAAGAAAATGGAATTTAAATGATTTCATTTCTATCTTCCATGTGACCACTCAGGGTTAATTTGGATTAAAACTTCACTACAGGTATGCAAAGATGGAACAGTGAGGTATTATGCTTTTGCATGTAATATTTTGTGAGAAATATTTATTTTGTTAATTTTACTCTTACCAATGTGGTAATATATACAAAGCTGAATAATTTTTTCCCATTTTCTACAGACATTACTGGTCCATTGGATTATATAATTTTTTTGCAAAAGATATTTTCAAAGTATAGAGAAAGAAGGTGTTAAAATATAATTCAGTTCCAATGGATACATCAACAAAACACTCCCAGTCCTAATACTCTGATATCGTTTACTCAGGAGCAGGCACCTGAGTAGAGTTGGGCAAGGTGGTCCTCCCCAGGGTTTCCAGAGCCAAATGGTCAGCCTTTAAAATACACATACTTAAAGTAACACTTTATGGACTCACAGGTTATATTTAGGAATATGCAAATACATAGATGGATACAATAATCAAAAAAAGGAGAGACCATGAATTTGAAGGAGAGCGGAAATGGGGGCACAGAGTAGACTTCGGAGTTGGGAGGGAGGAAAGGGAAGAGGAAAATGTTGTAATTAAAATATAACCTCGGCCAGGCAGTGGTGGTGCATGCCTTGAACTCCAGCACTCAGGAAGCAGAGACAGGTGGATCTCTGTGAATTCCGTGCAAGCTTGGTCTATAGAGAGAGTTCTAGCACAGCCAGGGCAAGGCAGTGAAACCCTGCCTCAAAAGAACAAACATTGCCGGGCGGTGGTGGCGCACGCCTTTAATCCCAGCACTCGGGAGGCAGAGGCAGGCGGATCTCTGTGAGTTCGAGACCAGCCTGGTCTACAGAGCTAGTTCCGGGACAGGCTCCAAAGCCACAGAGAAACCCTGTCTCGAAAAAANAAAAAAAAAATATATATATATATATACATATATATATATGTATATATATATAAACAAACAAGCAAAATATAATCCAGTTTGAGTGAACAGATATATGGCAAAACAAGCGTGGGTGACTACATGCTAAGGAAAAAATCTAAGTGTGAATAGATTTATTGATGCTGTGAAGTTCTGACAAAGTTCAAATTTTCTCTTGCTAAAATGTTGGTGAGGAAATGCTCATCTCTGGGATTGAAACACTAGACAGCCACAGAGCTGAAGAGAAGTGAAGGAAGCTGGGTGTGAGGCAGACAAACTTGCAGGTGTCTTGGAAAGCAAGCAATCTTTGACCTCGTTGTTTTTACTGTTAAAGTTCTGGCAGACTCCCTTAAATTCCAGAACACATCACCAAAGACAACACAAGGATCAAATGCAGGCTAGTGTTTCCATCAGAAGCAGCTGGAAAGACGGTCCTTGTCTGCAGCAAAGGCCCTGTACCGAGGGAGGCAGTACCTGCCAGTCAAGCAGACAGCACACAGTGACCAGGATCCAAGAAGAAATATTTCTCCACTGGAGTCGGCAGTGGTCACAGAGAACAGAAACTTAACCTCAATGTAAATTTGATCTGTGAAAACCTTGCAAGTGTTTCGACTTTCCCCACCAACGCTACCGCGTGGTGAAGACTCAGAGACAGCACCAAGTCATTCATCCAGCACAAGAAAGGTTCTGAGCTCTTGGCATGGAGGCTCCCAGCAGTGGGAGGTGACTCGTCCATCTTTGCCCAACTGCAGGAGAGGCCAGCTTTTCAGCAGCTGAGAAGAGCTTTTCTGCTCCTCAAGCTCCGCTCCTACCTGTTATGATAAATGCACACACAGAGCGCTGCCATCTGATCGGCACTCACTGCTGAGCCCCCGGGACAGGGGTGGGAGTCTCAAGGTTACTCAGGTCATCCGTAATGTTCTGTAATAAACTGCTGCCTTCCTTTTCCTTCTTATGAGGACTGTGATCTTAATGCTTTGTGTCATATCCCATGGATCTGATTTAAAAAGCCAAGCATCTTTGATCTGGACTTCCCTGTCTCTTTAACTGGATTTCCTCCTCTAGGCCCCACCCACGCTGAAACGCACCCCTGTGGTGGTGTACTCAATACTGAAAAATTAAGCTTTTTCAAATGACTCCAGGGTCACATTATTCCTTCACAAACAGAAGTCCTTCTTATCTGTTCCCCCAGCCTGCTGCTCAAGATCTCTCTTAGGGTGACAACAAAGCCTTCTGCCACAAACACTAACAGATTCATGAAATCATGCATTTTCAGTCTTTACTGTCAATGCACTCAGCCATCCATCTGCTTATACATTTATTGCATAGCGTTCGATGACACATGTCAAATATTTTTAATGATAAAATATATCAGTGTCCTAAAATAGCTCTCAGAGGAGGGAGAGGCATGTAGGCTGCTGATTACCTCCCGAGGCAATATGTCCAATCCCAAAGATG